CACAAGAATTTCATTATAGCGTAAATCGTTGGTTTCCATGAAGTTCCATTGAATTATAGTTTTCATGGAAATACATATCTTTTAGATGCACGATTTTCTAAAAGTCTATCACTCTTTCCAAACGCAAGTATCGAACTGAAGCTGGCCTAAAATAACATGTCTGAGAAACGACTTCAAAAAAATCTACAGTAAAATGGTATAAAATTGAGAATGAATACCTTCTAAAACCTTCTTCATTTATATTTATCGAACAATGTTGTCCTAACAATTCTTGTTAGCTTTTTTTTTCAACAGAATTCTTGTCGCTATCTTTAACAATGTTCAGCACTGTTTGTGAACCGATGCAAAATCACTTTCACCTCTGGAAGAGGCGGTAATGATTACTATAACGTATTTATTAGAATCACAAAAAGAAACGCAACTAAAGTGCAACGATGTTATGCACGTCCCACTTTACGGAGCTAGGTCATTCATAGTGCGAGTGATCTCACGCAAGATTTGATTTTAGACGACCTCGACGTACTTAAATCCCAAGGCTAGATCGAGCAGTGATTTTTCAGACATTTTTCTAGAATGTCGAGCACCGAATATGAAAATTCGTCCAATTCGATCGGATCAAAAATTTGTTAAAAGAAGCACTCTCGTACGCGTCGGTCCTCGATCTTATTTGAAATCGGACTACCCAGCTGGCAGTTTCATTGTTCGTTTCGGTACGATTTTTTTTCGTATATTTATCGAAATCGATCGATTTCTCAAGATGTACTATCCAAACGCGTGTAGATTTGTACACACTTGCTTGGCATTGCAAAATTTTTGTCAGTGGAAACACGGTCGCACATCGCACGTTACATATGCGATGATTGAAGGAAGAGAGGATCATTATGCCCGGAAGCCTAACGACAAATTAACAGATCGCAATTCCATCCGTTTTCTTTATGTGCCAAATACGTTATTAGAGAGAACACTAATCATGTATCATAACTGGAGATTGTCCACACTAATAGCAATTAGTGTTTAATGAATCTGTTCTCGCTACGCAAAATATAACGGGTATGTTCTTTATCATGTTCGCAAAGGCAAGCTCGCGTATGCGCATTTTTTCATCCGATAACACCTGTCATATAACGTCATTCATCCTCTCTTATTTATGTGCTCAACGACAGGGCTACGCTCAAATGACTTCGCATTTAGTATACTCGATGGCCGAGACGTATACGGACGTCGAGCTAATCGTATAAAACTGTTATACGCATTTAGTATAACCGTTAGTATTAGTCTTTATCGGCGTATTATTTATTGTCGAAAACCGTTGTTGATGGCAAAAGTGTTCAAGACCACGCTTTGAAAAAACACTCCCTGCCAAAATTTATCTTGAAATATGATACAATCTGTGTAATGCAATCAAAATATAATATAATATAATATAAAGCAATTATATATATAAAACAATAATATATATATAATACAATATAAAACAATTATAATACAATAAGTATAATACAATCTGTGCGACGTCATTTTGTGTAACCTCGGCGAACACGTGGATTCCTACGTATAACGCGAATATGCATTACGAAGTCTTTTTTCTTGTCGTTTAAATTTGGAACTTCTAACAAAAAAAAGGTTGAATATGTTTTAAACCAATAATTCGATCTCATGTTTGAGCAATAAAATTGTCGAATCGTAACTAACAATGTTTTTTTTCTATTATTTAGAAAGGTATAATTTGATAAAAAAAATCATTCCTTCTTACAATTAGTGCAGATAAACTATAAATTTTATTAGATTGTTTTGAGCTTACAATTGGAAAGAAAATATACGACAGCTAAAATGGATAGTTATTATGAATTATCCTTTCGATTAACAAAATCCGAGGGTTTTTTCAAAGCAACGGTGTTCGGTTTGCAAATAGTTTTAATAAACGGCGAAGTAGTTTTTTTCTATGGCTCAACGCAGAAGTGGTATATGTGCATGATCGCACGTTCGTAATGTATAAGATTCGAAGCGAATTAGCTATTGATTATTTAAAGAAGGACTACGCATAAAACTTTAATATTAAGATTAACCATATTTATTTACTAACTGGTAGATCCTTAAAGAGACTTTTGTTCGCTAATAAAATTTCGAATTCGTTAGATGAACTCTGGATTCGTCTAGACGAACCCGGCAACACTGCGAAAGTTTCTTTCACGTTTCAACGTAGCGTGATAAGACCACAATTTTAGGATATTACGATACATTCTTATTATACTCATTATATCCAGCTATATGCTAAATTTAACGTTAAGTAGACAATTTTTAATGTTAAGCTTCTCCTTTTACGAGTATGTTCGCCGTCGTTCCGAGCAATGCGACTTTCTCGTTGCTCTATAGTCAGGTCTGGGCAAGTCGCGTCTCTCTTCCCCCTCTTACGTGCTTCGTAGCGCGCCCCCACTATGCACCTTCGACGTCCCTCGCACACTCACGTGACACCATCGCTTGCGGTGCGGAGTATTAGCATTCACGGAACCGAAATAGTGGTGAAAGAGAGGGATCGGTGATGGGAGCTTGCGGTTCGCGGTCGAAATGATTCGCCCAGACCTGCTCTATAGACTATGATTCACAAATTCAATGACAGTACGACAGTATCCGAAGCGTATCACCGTACTTCTGCAAGACATAAAGTGGTACTTTATGTATCAACGAGCAATGCGTGTAACAAATCAAACATTAGAACGCTTCAATTAATTGACTAATATATCCTCGTGTGCCATTGAAGTATTGTTAAGTTCCCAAAGTGAGCAAATTCGAGAATCGGTTTACCCAGACTGAATCGTACGTTTTTTGCGCGTTTAAACGTCGGTCCCCGGCATTGTAAAACATTACTTTGAATAAATGGTAATACGAAAACTTCATTGTCCTATTTCTTGGATTCGATTGCCATTATATAAATTTAAATGCATCGGATACCTTTTAGTTCCAAGAACTGGACTCGAGCACGACTCGACAACGTAAAAGTGAAGATGTATGTGTAATAACTAACTATGTCGAGCTGTGACGGTCAAGATTCGGAATTTAAAGGGATACCGCATCCAGCAAAAAATAAATGTGCGTTAAAGAAAATTACATTTTTTAGTAATTGTCCTTTTATCTTTATAATTAGAGCATTATTTTTCTCGTTAAAATGAGTCCAGACGTGGTGAAAATCGGATTAAATTAAGCTACTCTTGGATAAATTAATAAGCAATCTATGACAATAAGCTCTTCGATAAACGTAATCTGATTTATATCATATCTGGATTCAGTTTAACCAAAAAAAGCTATTGGTACTGCAATTATGAAAGTAAGATCAAAATTGAACTGAAAATAAAATTTTCATTCTCACGTGGTTTCTTTGTTCAGTCGCGGCATCCTATAGATGTAAGCATGTAAGTATGTCCCCCGTTGCCTTTCACTATAATCATTCTTTGTCCTTGTCTACTAAGTTAAGGCCTTGTCAAGCTCGAAGTTCTACGGCGGGGAAGAAAGTAAATTTTTCATAACATTAAAAAGCAACAAAAATATTTAGGCGGTCTTCTACAACTGTGAGATTTTGCATGTTGTTCCATCGTGTTTGGCAACGTTCTGGTAATTTCTAACTTCTGGATGAATTCATTGTTGTGCATTTTTCGAGATTCGCTATGTTATGTGAAATACTATTCCTGACGATAAGTATTTGGCCAGCAGCAACAGGAATGAATGAATTTAAGAAAACGAGCCTCAAATGTTACAACAAAAGTATAAAAATCTTGGCAACTTTAAATTGGATATAACAGAGTGAACAAAGAAAACGATGCTTAGAAAAAGGTATTTGGCTAAGCGAGGTCCTGGAAAAAATATTCATTTAATATAATAATATATTATTATTATTATTTAATATTATAATATATTATTATTATATTAAATGAATATTTTTTCCAGGATTTCGCTTAGCCATAATAATATATTACATAATAATAATATTATAATAGTATATTATTATATTAAAAATAAAATGAGGCGAACAATGATTTGCTTTATATTCGCAGTATCCAACATCGCGACATTTTTTATTGTTTTAACGAGTGCTGATGATGCTGATTTCATAGAATTTTCTATATTATCGATGAAAATGTTCACCTTGATAATGCATTGCTTCGCCATTCTTATTCTTCTCTACCGCCTTCGTTTTTAGTGTATTAATTTTTCTACTCTGTTCACAACGGACAGTGATAGAAATTGATCAATTTTGGTCTTGATTAGCAATGAAAATTTTTTGTACGGGCTCTGTCACGAGGGGTCAGAAATGCATAATTATTTACGCTGGAGATGATTAACCATTAATCCCATCAACCATGGAATAATTTTCAGCTCGTATAGCGGAATATTTTCCAAAAATCCTTACAAATTATTGTGAGTAATCCACTGTTGCTATATGTGAATACGTATGAACTGAACACCCTTCATATTGCAAAGAGTCACACGAAACTGCTTGTGCACAACTCGAGCACCAAATGCACACTCTCATTTTGATCTATGTTCCTTCCGGAGGATTTGCACCATGGAAGATACTTCGATGCTATATCGGTAATTGTGTTCGCAAGGAATAAAGCAAGGAATAAAAAAGATGAAACACTGACTATAACACAAGATCGATGATTTTTAGAACCGGTGACAATGGCAGTGTGGGCTGTGCCCCATCAAATGGTCACGCTAGCATGCAAAGTGGAAACTGTGCTATCGGAAGTGCAATGCCACTGGATTTATGCGTCGAAGATTCATATTTATCAAAATATGAGTGGAAATAGAAGGTACTTCGAAATTTTGTATCCGTGGTATTTAATAAATTCGGATTCATTTATGCATTTCTCTGAATTTTTAGACACAATATTCGAATGAACTATGGTACAGGACTGTGCACGTTAGAATTTAAGCCCGATCAATCCGATTTGGGACTTTGGACGTGCAAGTTCACTGTACCTAACGAATACGGCGATGCGGAATTGGGCAGCGCGTCTGTCGTTGTGCTAAATAGTTTAGGTGGTACGTGGTTTTTGATATTTAATCTTACTTAACAATATATATGTAATATATATATTGTTATATATATTATTATATAATATATATATTGTTATATAATATATAATATAATATATTATATACATAAATGCCGAGTGTACAAACCCTGGTAGTAAGTATTTGTCCAGAAGCAACAGTAACGAATTATTTTTAAAAGGCAGGATTGTTTACACCTCAAATACCACGACAAAAATATGAAAGCCTCGGCAACTTTAAATTGAACATGTATTGAACAAATACGCGACACACAGTGACGCGGTGGTTCATATAGTCGAACCGCGTTGCGGTCCGCGATCCTCATGTTGCGTGCCGGTTAATTCCGAGCCCTGCTCTAGAGTATATTATCAATTTCTTATTTTTTATTTGTACTATTATGAAACTATTAGTGAATCAAATCTATTTCTAAGTAAATCTGTTCTTATGAGAAATCTCCATATATTTGTTACACATAGGCACATGCAGTTTATCTACTATATATATTTTAGGCAAAATTTTATTTTTGCACGTTTCATATCTTTTAAGTTGTTCAGTAAAAAATATTAAATAATGTCCACATTTAAGCATACTCAATTTAATTCTAAATACTATAAGTCATACTTCATTTTTTTATTCTAGATGAGAGGCTGGGATGGATAGTAGGCACCTTAACTGCTGTGATTTTGTTTCTGATGATTATTGTAGTTGTCTTAGTGGTCTGTAAAGCGCGTCTATTTGTCTGGAAGTCGACACGTATTTTGGAAACCATACCTCCATCGGAGAAAAAACGTATCTCACGAATAAACGAGGAACGCTATTCGGTGAATCCAACAAAAACTCCTGCTGTACGAATTAATGATAATGATCTAGATACACAAAATGTATCGAGTATTGATAACATTATACCCAACAGAAGTCCCCATTTATATGAAAAAGTTACTAAATATAGAAACCCATCTAAAGTATATGAAAATATTCAAATGTAAATGATAAACTTCTCAGTGTTACAAAGAATAAGAATTATCTTATTGTGTAAATAAAATTTTAACAAAATATACTTAATATACACATAAATGTAAATATTACTAGATTTAATAATTGCTTAATTTGTAAAATCCATAGGAATGAAATGTATTTGTAACGAATAGATAAAATTGGAAAATATGTATATTTTTTATCGTACACATGTTTTTACAAAAGTTAAACTAATATTTACAAATTATTTGAGAGCATCTAATTGCGACTGTATTTTCTCTAAATTTTGATATAGATCAGTTAGCCCCTTTTTATCAAATTCAACTGTTAATTGAGATTGTTGTTCTCCTACCAAGTTTAATTGCAATAATGCCATTGGACGTACATCCTTTTTGATAGCAGACGATGCAGCTTGAATATTCAAACACCAATCGATATCTTTGACCTGAAATAAAATAATATATTTTATGACTTAAGATGTTAAGAACATTTTTTTAAATGTATAAGCTCTATGAACATTCTTATATAACACACCTGAATAGGAAATATTGATTCTTGTCTGAAATTATCTATTATTCCTTTACCATATGCTATCCAAGCATTCAAAAATATTTGAATTTTTTCATTGTCAGCTTGAAAAGTGTCTTTTAAAGTTATCTCCATAGACTGCGGTTTTATAATATTACATGCAGCTTGTTTGTAAATTGTTGTTATTGCTTCCAAAAGAATAGCTAAATCATCTTTATTTAAATTTAATGAAACTAACAGCTTTTCTTCTTCCTCAACACTGAATACTTTTGCAGCTGCACCGGATTGAAGGGTTTGGCAGATACGATTTATGAGTAATCGAAATTTACTATTATCTATTCCATTTACTATGTCTAAGCCTTGTTCGAGTCTAAAATAATACATATTAAATATTCAATATATTGAATTTTTACATTTAATATTTATAAAATATCTACTTTGAACACCTTTTAGGTATAATATCATTTATTTCAAAAGTATTGTGAAATTACATTATTGTGTTACAAATACTACCGCGGAGTCACTGTGATCCAAGTTGCCATATTAATCAACGTTTATATATTAAACAATAATTTCCATATGAAATGTTGATAATGTCAATAAACACAACTTAACATCATCTATCCATTGACAACTATCTTTGACTCAGTGATGTACACGGGCCACAGGAAGGAAGAAGATAGACTGACGTCTTCGTTTCTGTCCGTTCCCATTTACCGTGTCCCAGCGCATGATGGTGGCGGTTTGTAGCGACTACATAGCAATTTAACGCGCGTGATTCAAATCACAGTATTTTTGATCAAAATACGCGGCAGCGTATTGACGCCAAATACATATGTGTATGCCGAACCCTACCGCGTGTATGCATTTTTTTTACCGGAGTCGAAGACCGATCTAACCTAAGATGAAACTTACTTCGCTAATATCTCAGCAGTATTTGCTAATTTTAAAGAAAAATACTGGACTACTGCGAATAAATTTTCTTATCTTAGTAAGTATCTTTTTACTGTTTATATTTGATATTATATTGCATAACCTATAACCTTGACGAAATGAATATTTATTGTTTATTATTACTCAAGTCAATTTAGATGATCTCATGCGCAATTTGCATCTGACGAAGTATCAGGCACAGTTTATGAGATCTCGGCTTCAGGAATGGAATTGGCTGCACAAATCAACGAACGTGACGTATTATAGGAAACGAAATCAAGTACAGGAATAATTCTTCAGAATGTATGAAAATCTTTGTATATGTGAGAGATTTAATCATGATCCTCAAGAATTGAGATTGTTTATTGATTCATCGAAAAGTAGCTTAAAAACCGTTTTATTACACGTTGGCAACATTTTTCTATCAATTCCAGTCGCATCCACCAGGCACATGAGAGAATCATACGATTCCCTTAAATTAATTTTAAAATACATAAAGTACGAACAATACAATTGGAATATCTGTAGAGATTTAAATGTAAATAGAAATGCTACTTGGGGCCTGCAAATGGGATATACAAAATATTGTTGCCTTCTCTGTGAGCGAGTGATTTTGGGCCAAAGAATGTTATGTACAACAATTTAGTTGATCTTAAAAAAGTATATTTGCCACCTTTATATATAAAATTAGGGCTTATGAAAAACTTTGTCAAGGTCATGGATAAAATCAAAATTTGCTTATTTATCCGAAGCAAAAATTAATGAAGGCGTGTTTGTAGGACTTCAAATAAGAAGTTTAATGGCAGACAATGATTTTCCAGATAAATTAAGTGATCTCGAAAAAGCAGTATGGACTTCCATTAAGCAAACAACAAAACGTTCTCTTAGCAAACAGAAATCAGAAAATACATTGCCATTATGAATGAATTATTACAAAACTGTGAAAGACTTGGGTGTAATAGACGCGGGTCGATGTACGCCCGACTTTCAACCGCGGATTGGCGACGGTGAAGGTCCTATCGTTTTGTCCAACACTGTAAATAAATAGACTCGTCACGATCGCCGAGTGCTGCACGTTCTTTTGCTAAGAATAAACGTCTTATCGCGCTTACGCTTGCCTCAACGCTGGAAAAACCAATATCAATTATCAGAGAAGATTATAAAACGTTGGGGTAGCATACGAGACAAGTATAGTCCTCGCATAGACGCCGACGGTGCACGATGTTTCATCTTGTTTCTTTGGTTGTGACTTTGTGTCTGACAGTGACAATCTTGGGTAAATATTATTCCTTTTCATTAACGCAATTATTCAATACTTATCACTTTGAATTTTCTTCTTGATTCATCTAACAATTCTTCCATTTTATTCTGTCATAGTATTCATGTTGGTATGCAGTATTGGGGAGAATAAAGTAAAATGAAACGCTTAACTTTATAACAGAATAATAAAAATTAGAAGGCAAAAGTCCTAAAGGTCCTCATAGTAGCCCTAAGCAAACCTTTGACTACAAGAAAGAGAAACAGTTTATTAATGAAAGTATATGGCTACAAAGGAAAATAAGATTTTCTGCAAATATTGAAGTATTGTTGTATTTAGTTAACAAGTACTTTATTTATAATATAGAACAGAAATAAATCGAGATCACGTTGATCATGTACTATAAGACCCAGTGTATACATCCGTTATTCGAACGCGTGATACCGGAATTAAGGTTTGAGACTGCAATTTAAAAGTAGCAATGCACGCACACCTTCGGTAACGCAACGGCACCTTACGTTCTTCTTGCACGCATTTTGAACTGCAATTGGAGATAAAATCTCACTGAACTCAAAGCACTGTGGTGAAAGAAGTGTGAGGCTGCATTGTGTAAATTTAACCGTACGGATTTCATGTAGATTTAACCGCGTAGCTCACAAATTGTATCTAGTTAGACTTTATTAATGATCACTTGCATTTCAATGTTATAGCGGATTGTGATGTCTCTATCGCATACAATTACTATGGAGACCTGAAAGATCCACAGCCATTGATCCTAGCGGAGAATGGCGATGGTTTTTTCTACCCGAATAGGGGACGGATGTTGATGCTCCAATCAGGACAGTCTGTTCTCATAGCGTGCCCTGGCGACAAAAATAAAATTGTCGGCACTAATGTCAAAGAAGCGATAGCTACCTGTCAAAATGGTAAAAATTTTGACGTCAATGGTGTGACTCGACAATTCTCAACAATAACTTGCGAAAGCAATCCTCAAATTAGCACCAGGATCCTGACACAAAAATGTCTCGGAGACAAGATCTCCATTGCCGTTGGATACCAGTTGACTAACAAGTTCTTGACAACGTACGAAGTCTGCAGGAACGACAACACTTACGAGACTTACTATTCGAAATTCAAATTGACTAAAGCTAACCAAGGTCAATCTCGCTATCCCAGGTAAATTAATTTACAAATTAATATCGAATATTTTTAACATATTAATTGCTCAGCGTCTGAAGATAGTGCCTTGGTAATTAACGATCTTATTACAAAACGCATTTGCTAAGAATTCTCTTGGAAAATATTTTTCGTCGATCCGATTCCTGAACAATCATGTTCTTTTTAAAGTTTCGAGAACCTTAGTTGAATATGTTGCTAATGTCAACTACGCTTCCGATTTTTAAGTAAAATAGATAGTTTCCGCGTTAAATGCAGTTCAATAACAATGTACTTCATCTTTAATCAACTCTAATTGGAAGTGAGTTAACGGTAAAGCTGCTAATTAGTTGCTGAAGACTATCAGTCATGTTCAATATCAATGTCCAGTGAACTACAGATTATGGCTAATTAAAAAATTTAATCTATTTAAGCTAGATAACGAATAGACAATGGTCAATGTAATAATTGACATATAGAAAAACAAATCGTATTGGATTTGAGATTTCATCATTGATATGTTGTTGACAAACGGGAAGATCGGTTCCTTATCACAGTTGTCAGTCCATTAAGAAAGTATGCACAAGATGTTTATCAGTATGTGAGAATCTTTTTGATAACACAATTCGTTTATCTTTTATCATTTATCTTATTTTGAAGACACTGTCGATGCATTGATACAATGTTCCTCGTCATTGTGATTGACACAATTTTTCATTCATCTTAAAAGTTAAATTTTGTCGTATTGAACATAAAAACACTACAATGACCTTTAGCCCTTCAGTCTTGATTCTATTATCCAATAATTCAGGAATGTCAATTTTTTCGATTCGCTTACAAACCTCAATAAATCTATTTTAAAGCACGAGTTGATAGCGCAATCAATCTTACATTGACAGAAGCTTGGACTGATCTTATTGTTTGCAAAGAAAACGATTTCGCAAGATGGATCGCTGTATTTATTTCCACATAGATTGAGCAAATTTGGAAACAGATTACAAAGACTATTCGCAATTAACAAGAAATCTTAGCAAACTCACACAAGATTTTGCAGCAAAAGTTGAAAGAAATTATCTGCAACTAGACTGTTACCATGATCAACTTTATCATGTAGCAATTACAATGCCATTCTGATTTCAGACCAACATGGCGAGCAGAGAACCACTTCAATGGAATGGATGTGGATCGACTCTACTACTGGGAGACCCAGCGCACAGTAATCCAAAATCTTCTGGGCCCTAATGCGCCAGCAGCTAAACGCGTGAACAAGCAACTGTTCCTCTCACGAGGACACCTGACTGCCAAAGCTGACTTTGTCTACGGCAGTCAGCAGAACTGTACCTTTCAATACCTAAACGCAGCTCCACAATGGAGCACCTTCAATTCGAAAAATTGGGAAGTCCTGGAATCATCCGTCAGGAACTTCACGCAGGCTAAGTCTTTGGACCTGGAAGTCTACACTGGTGTCCACGGAGCAATGATGATGGCTGATATCCACGGCAATCAGCGAGTGATAACGATAACATACCGACACTCGAAGCCGTTGTTAGTGCCGAAATTCTTTTGGAAGATCATCTATCATCGGCCCAGCAGGAAAGGCACAGCCTTCGTGGGCCTGAACGATCCCTTCATCACAAACGCCACGCCGGATTTATATCTGTGCACTAACAGGATCGACCCGCACATAACGTGGCTTTCATGGTCGTCAAACTACACCCAGGGTCTTTCGTATGCATGCACCGTTGATGATCTCAGATTGAAAATTCCTACAATCCCTCCGCTAAAAGTGGTGGATATATTAATATAACTGAATAGTTGAGATAGATTGGGCCAATAGGACCTCTTGAAATACAGTATTCTCTCCGTAAGAGGGACAGATGTTCAGCAAATATTAAAAGGCTTGTGCAAGATCGGCCTTACAAATTCAAAAATCAAAATTTCTTATTTTCGAATTTTCGTTATCGAAACTTCTACATTTTTCACCTCGTTTCGCTGAAAGCCTTGTGCTGCGGGCTCTTGAACTTCGCGCCGTCACCTCTCATTGGTTAGTGTTTTTCGTTAATAACTCGTAAACAAAGTCGCAGATCTCATTTTCGCAAAGGAAAAAGGTACTTCAAATGACCTCAGCTACCCCTCATTTTCGGCTGTTAAAATAATTGTGGAACACCCTATATGTATAACTAGAAAGATCAATTATATGAAATATTAAAAATAGAATGTAAGACTGAAAAAAAAGAATGTAACCTAGATTTAAGTAACAAAAAAAACTAATTTGTGTTAATATTTGATTAAAGAAATATTTTTTGTTTTGTTTTGTTTGTAAGGAATATGCAACGAAAGTACAAAGAAACTGTGAAATGTTCGGAATATGTACATCTGTATAGTAGAAATATGTACGACAGAAATATTTAAATACTTAAATAATACTACTTAATGTACTTAAAACCGAACCTGAACCTCAGTATAGTATAGATCTCCCACGAGCGAACACACGTGCAAAAGCAAATAAGAAGTACATTGTTGAGATTAAACAGCACGTTTCAAACTATTGCCGTGCAGTCATCAATTCCTAGTTCTCAAAGATCCAGTATAGGGAGAAAAGATTACTGTAGAAATCCGTCATAATATTGTAGGATCGATGGCGCCACCGAGCTATCCCCCCATTCCGCACCGCTAGGAAATTTGGTAGGCACCAGTTGCCACCACAAACTATAAAGTAAGCAGACTCGTATGCACATCTATGTGGCCAATAGTCTATGGTCAACCGTCAGAAAATTTAAACTAGATCGGAACCAATAAGAACACAATAAGGCTAGATTCCCAAGCGAGAAGATAACGGTAGAGAACACAGTTGGACTTACGGGGGCTCTAGAATCGAGAATCTGAATTATCACTTCTAAACCGCCATATTGAATTTTAATTCGTCCAAGTTTGCAGCTAACTTAGCCGGTAGACAAAAAAGTGCCCCCACTCTTCTCTATAGAGTCAACGGTCCCTGAATCTCTCTAATCCTAAGTCCGTGGTATTAGAGCAGCTTCAAAATAGAGATGCAGTGCCATGCAGTGCTACAATACTAAATCGATAATTGATCTTGAAGTATTTTTCTAAGAGTCATGTTATGATAAGTTTAATCTTTTTTAATTCAGATGCGTAATATTCGTTAAATATTACATTCGCTTTAAATTATTAATTTTCAGACAATTTTATAAATCGTTACATAAGAATGATTTGTACGCATGGCTTAAGATGGTACAGAAAATGCCTTCAGTTAACTTTACCTTCTTATTTGCAAAAGGGTAATATAGAATAGTTTATTATTACTTTTGATATAAATATTGGTATTAATCATAGGATTATTAACAATCATTATATCATCTCATAAGTATTAGAAAATTTGTATTGTTTGATTGATTATAGTGAAAATAGTAAACTTCTTTTTTAAATATTCTATTTTTTGTGTTTTTTTAAAAATATATTTTGTATATATTAATAGAGAGAGAGAGATTGAAATTTAATTACATGAAATTCTTATACTAAATTTTCTTTTACAGCCAATACATCTACATCAAATGCAGGCAACGATAATTCAGTCAATCATATTGTTTGGATAGATATGGAAGTACGGTGGTATTAGAAATATGCTTTTATATATATTCATATTCGGTATTTATAATGTATATTTTACTATTATTATTTCATCTTATATTTTAGATGACTGGACTTCATGTTGAAACATCCCATATAATGGAAGTTGCCTGCATAATTACAGATAAAAACTTAAATGTTATAGGTGATGAAGTAA